GGGGGGGGGGGGGGGGGGGGGTGGTGTAGAAAGGGGGCTATTACTAATGGGAACAACAAGGCACAAGAAAGAAGCCCTGTAAAAAAAACACCAAACTGATCAATGAGATAGAACAGAAATGTCCTTCCCTTACTTTCCCATAATGTCCCCTTTTGCCTCATCTCCCACCTGATACCACCAAAGCCTGTTTGTGCCTTAACAAAGATGGATCAGTTGCTGTGCAGTCCCCTGGTGCTTACCTATACTCTGAAGTCACCTACTCCTAACCCAGCCATCACTCAGCAAACTCTAAAATGAAATAAATTCATTCATTCCAATAAGCAAATTATCAAATCACCTTCATCCATCTTGTTCCTATATTTTTAAATTTGATTGTGGCCAGAGAATCGCTGTCTGGGAACTACCCTTCCCCCACTCACACATACTCCCTTTAAAAATGCAAAATCTAGCCCTCTATTTCAATATTTCTGATGTCAGTGACCGGTGTCGGCTCTCCCCATACAGTAACTGCTTTAAAGCGCTGCATACAGCACTGCATTAAAAATTAATTACACATGCTATTTTATTGATAGTGCATAATGTAATGAGCACCAGCTGTGCTAAACATCCAAACTCCTTTTTAAGACAGCTATAAAAAAAGAAAGAAACTGCACTTCCAAATGCTTCTCCTGTCAGAGGAGAAAAACAGCAACATCTTGGATGGATTTGAAACAGGATTCTTTGATTTAGCTCTCCATTTGGAGCGTTTGAAGAGTTCAGACTCTCGGGCTCAGCATAGTGGTATGCGATCGAGTTAACTCTCTCAATGTTGGAGTCATTGTCTTTACTTCAGGCAACGTTGCCTTGAACCCTTTTGTCGCAAGACTACCGGATTCAGTTCCACCCATTAATATTGCAATTAAGGACTTTTCTTTTTTCCTGGGATGTCTGGAAATGGCAGGGATCCACTTTAAAGCACCTTTAAATATCGCTGTTGTTCCTGCTGATTCTTAACTTGACATAATTAGGATTTACAAAAGTTATAGTGATCGGGCATCTGTCTAGAACAAAGCCTCATCCGTGCTCACATTGCCAGCACCGCTGCCCCATGCAGCACCCTAATTTTAGTTGCCTCTTTGCTGTCTTAAGGTCTCTTCACTGCCTCTTGACAAACACGCCATTCAGTCAAAAAATCAGCTTGTGATTAGATCCATCTATTTTGAGTTTGGATCTGATTTTAATATTTGGTGAGACAGAGCTGCATAGACAGACAGGTCACATATGACTTTAATACTTGGATAGATGGATGAACACACAGATTGATAGATGAAAAGATGGATGCATACACTCAGACTGATGCATTACTGGTTTTAGTATATACATCTCTCACACATCCCTGCACTCTGTACGTACTGTCCACAAAGTCAATTCCTCTATAGCATGCATTAAATATTTCACTAAAATAAATAAATACATGTAACCATGACTAATAGGCACATCTCTCCTGAATGTTAGCCAGTACTTTATGCCAAACTCTTCTTTGTGCAGCAAAATGAAAAGATACATTTACAAAGGATCTTGGGGAAACTATAGGTCTTTGTCTGCCCTCAGACACATATTGCAAATTCCTCTTTCTCCTCTCAAAAAAAGCACCCAGTACTGATCAGAAATCAAGTTTTGGTGTGGTGGGTTTTTTTTTTGTTTTTTTGTTTTTTTTTTTCCCTGAGTTTCCACTCAACAAAAACCGAAGAGTAGAGTATCAGCCATAGTCCTGGGACTTGATGAGTTAGGAGGTTTTTGCTGGATGAGTTTGCATTCTCTGCTCTGATTACTGTTTTGTTTTCCATTGATCCTCCTGTGTTAATAAAACCCAGTCTGGAGTGAACAAAAGCTTGCTTCTTGTTCTAGTAAGAAATGTGCCGAGTGCATACCATATCATTAACATAAAAGTTTTTGAAATAATACTGCTTTCTAGACAGACTGTATTAATTGCACCAAGCTTTTTACAGCAGGGTGGTCTAATCTAGCTCTTCTTATTGGCTGACTCCAGTTATAAAACCAACACAAAATGAATACAATGATATAATTGAAGGAGGGAAAGCTATTCTTTTAAAACCTATTATTTACTTACAGGTAATTCTTTTATCTTTATTGTCTCTTTAACCTTTGCCAAGAAAACACCAGACTAGTAAGTAGAATTTCAGTAGCCAAGTAAATTGATACTAACTTTACAAGATGACTGTGTGATTTTCAGAATGTTCTAATGACTAATACAGCTGATTCCCTGAATTAACAGAAGCTTGTTCCTCTCTTCTGAGCTATGGCCCCATGCTTTCCTCTATTTTAGACCTTCAACTTCACAGCCCTGTCCATTAATCACTGCTGCCCATGCCCACTTGGCTGTTTTTATATATGCAACTAAGTATCGTAATTGCTTTCCACCTCCTTCCATCAGCCTACATGTGGGAAGGAAGCAGTTTCACTGGTTAGCTGAATATATGTGCATTGGACAGATTTAATTATCTTTACAGAGGTATATAAAACCCTCACTCGTGGGCCCAGGTCCAAAGATTTTGGATCAGGTATCTATCTGAATGAAGGCACAGGAGATAAATTATTATCTGTGCCATTACAATCTCCTTTGTCTTATGCCAATTATAATTCCATCTGGGGCTTTTGCACTGTAGGATCTTCAGGGCAGAGACTTTTTTTCTTTGGAGAGCACACTGTAAAGTGCCATGCACTTCTGCGCTGAGATTTTCAAAGCTCATTTCTCGTTAACTTTAGTGGGAAATGGGCATCCAAATCTCTTAGGCAGCTTTGACAATTTAAGCCTTAATGTACAATATTAATAAATCAGCATCATAAAAAGAGCCTCATGAAGATATATTGGGACAAAATAGCCCCACAAAAAGCACTGCAGTGTATGTGTGGATGCATACGAGCATATACTTTTCTTTACATAATTACGTCTCTCAACAATCATTTGCATGTCTCTGTTATGCAAAAAAACCTGTGTGTGTTTTACAGTTACTCTGAGCAGTTGCAATTCATTGAAATGAAATAAAAAGCAGGCTCAAAAAAGCACCCTAATCTGGCAAGGGGTAAAGCAAAATGAATGCTTTGCCCATTTATATTTTAGATCCAAGCTACACAACCCTGTGAATTTCATGACTCTATTCCAACTTCTAATTAAATAGGCACTAAAAACATTTAAACGGGAGAACCCAATTCAACAGACAGAAGCCTCTGAGGGAAAAAATAAATAAATAAAGAGACTGAGAGATTGTTCCAGTGGCACATTATTTTTTTAAATCACACGGAAAACATAGACCTTTACTTGCAAATTCTTCACCCTGTGGTGCCTTAACACAGAGAACAGAACAAAGACAGAGGGGACCATGACCAGCACTGACCAAGTGACACGGTGGACACCCAAGCAGACTTCCCAGCACCATTTACTGTGATAGAAACTACTACCAGCAGCTCGTTTTCTAAAGATTGCAAACAGCCCTAAATGAAGTAGTACAACTTTCCCTGTGCACAACTGAACGCTACTCAGCATTCTGGGTGATCGCTCTTATCTAGGTTGGAGATTTCTAAATGTAGGTTTCATACGTGTGTACCCCAAATCCCACCAGCAGCCAGAAGTTTATATTTTCCAGCACAAAACTGCTGGGACTATTGAGGGCTCAATTTGTGAGTGCCCAGCAGAGATCTGGGAGTACCTGCAACTTCAAGCCTTCAGAGTTGAAGCCTGCTTGAGAATTGCAGGGAAAAACTTCAGGTCCTGAATTAAATGAATGCTGAAAAACAGGAAAGGTAAGAAATGATGAGGAGGAGGAGAGGCGGGAACTGCTGATGGCTTTTGTTCAAAGAAGGAAACAATTCCTCAGAAGCAAGAACAGGGCTGACAGAATAAAAGGCTAATCAAGTCAAAGAGACAAGCAGATCTCTAAAGCTGGAGCAAGTGACTGTTGCAAATGTCTGTATTTAAAAAGAGGGCACAATGCGGAGATCATCACTAGACTATTAGTCAACACAAAGAACTCACTTTTCTTTCATTTCCACAAGACATTCTGAGGGCTAGAAAGATCCCACAACCCTTGTCACGGGGTTTAAACCATGCCCAGGCTCATATACAGTGAATACTATGGGAGTTAAGAAAGGGTTAAGTGGACATAATCTGCTTTTTCGAGGGAAGAAAATGTTTCTTTCAAGCAGAACTTGACCAACTACTGTCATAAACATGTAGCATGCACTTTGATATAACCTATTCTCTAAGTGCTGCAGACTGCAGCAGTAATTACAGGAAGCCATGATAACAGGTCTCTCTCCACAGACCTGGCATCGCTCTCCCAGCAAACAGGCAATTCGGAAAACGCACAGCGCACAACTCCAAAGTGAGAACTCAAAGTACACAAAGTACAAAAGCCTCGCCTTCCCACATTCTTTAATAAGTTATTCCTTCCTTCCTTTTCTATTTTTAGTTGTACTTGCTTCCCTCCCCGCTAGCTGCTGGCATCAGAAGCAACAGGGAAGCAGGGCATCCAGTTCACTGTTACAATTACCTGCCTACCAAAGGCACCTGCGTGCAAACTGCACCAGTGAAGACAGAGAACAGCAAACATGAGATCAGCTCCAGTTTGGTTTACTGGTTACAAGAAGGAGGGAAGTGGGAAGGCAGGGGAGCCATCCGATTTTCTGATCCAGCGCTCGCCATTCGGAAGAGCCCATCTCTACAACCACCTCAGTCCAGTTAGTCAATCTGCTGAGGCTGATGAAACAGAGCCTGATTAAAACAGCATCCCCCCCACGCTGTGTACAGCAGCTCAGATCAGAAATCTGACCAAAACCCCTGGATGCACTGACTGCACTGCACCACACAGCACATTGCTGTAAGCCCAGTGCCTGCACCTTGGTGCAAGCAGCTGGGTGCAGGCTGAGGGAACCTTCCTCGCACATACTGAGCTTCACCCAGGGTCAAAACAGGACTCTGTGGAGTGCTCTCAGCCTTCTCCCAAAAATACTTTCTCTTTCAGGACTGAGGATTCCAGGACACAAATTTAAATTCCTTGCAAAACTTTTTGTTTCGCTTTATTGCAACAATGAGAGATGCATGGGAACATTCCCATGAGGTATAGTGTACTGTAGCCAGGTGGTACCACTGCTTGTGGAAGGAAAAAGCTGAGCGCAGCAAAGTTTTGTCAGCTTCAAGGGGACATGAGGAGCCACTTCCCAACGACTTTACTCCTGACAGTCGTGCTGTCTCTCTAAATCCTCTGGTTCTCACATTACTTATCCAGCATCATTCTGGGAACTCCCTATTAAAACTCCACGCACGTTAGCATGAATGAGGGCTGCAGGGTTTGGCCCACCACAGTGAGACTCCATAAACGCTTGCGGATTTTGCCACAGCTGTATTTTCTTTTAAGCCCTCCCCATTTTCACCTCTCCAGCCCGCAGTTCACCATAGGCCCAATCTTGCAACTGAGCCATGCTCGGAAACACCCACTGATTTCAAAGAGATCACTGGGTCTGAAATTATGGGGTCTGGCGACAATATGTCCATGTCCTCTTTGGCTAGCTCGGTGTGCCCTCATTTCCACATCACTTTCCCCTCCTTGCGGTGACAAAAGTCAGGCATCCAAAAGGAATAAAGGAAAAGAAAAGCTGACGGGGGAGAGGCGAGGGATGTGTGTGGCAAGTTACCAAGGAGCTTTTTCTCAAAGCAGGGGAGAAAACGGCATGGAGCACATACATCCTGTGTGCACACGGACGCGGAGGAGAACCTTTAATATGAATGACTGGGGAGGGAGGGAAGGAGGGAAAAAAAAAGAAGGGGGGGAAAAAAAAACACCTCAGATGTTAAATGTTATCCAATTAATTTTAAAATAAACAGCCAGAGAGATTAAACCTTGATACTGGGGTATCACATTCTGTGAGGAGTCTCAGACATTTGTTCACAGTGTGGCACAAACAGCCTGGCAGTGGCCACTGGTGACAGCTGAAGGTGGGTAGACAGGAGGGGAGGGATGGGGAAGTGGAGTGAGTACATGCCCTTTCCCACTCCCCATCCTTCACCAGGGTGGAAGGGGAAGGAAGAAGGGGAGAGGGGTGGTTTTAGGGCATCTTCTCTGGCTTCCCCACATGACCCAGTGAAGGCAGCTCTCCCACAGCAAAGACGACATCACTTGGCAGCACTACTGACCTTCAGATAGCAACAAAAAAAAAAAATGTTTCTATTACCTGACAACTGACAATGACATCCAAATGTGCCTGACGTCTCAGTCTGAATCTCAGTCTGAGTCCCGCCAACTGAGACTGCACGTGCACCACAGCAGGGCAGGCTAAGGCAGGGCGGGAGGGAGGCCAGTGCGCGGAGAGGTGACGTGATCACGGATGTGTGAGGGTGGGAGGAGGCAGCTATGGGAGCCCCCGGCAGGTTTGCAGGCCTGGACGGCCCTGGAGAAAAAACAATAGAAAAAACTGTCAGTCGGATCTAAGTTTGAAGGGACAGAGGAGGCATTATCAGGGGAAACAGGCGAGGTGGGGGCTGGCTGCCTAACACACCACACACTTGGTCTGAACCCCTCTCTGGGTACAGCTGAGGCTGGCAGGCTCGCACTGGGCGCGGGAAGACCAAGAAGAGACTTGGGGGATCTGCGAACCCAGGCTGGGGGCCCGAGGGGGCACAGAGAGGGTAGAAGTGGTGGGAATGGCCCGCCCTGGCATGGAGCAGAGCCGGAGGCAGCAGACGGTGCCACCAGCACTTGCTCAGGGACTGAATCAAAAGGGGGATTATTGTTTTACGGCTGTGTTAATGCATTGAGCTGACACAAAACTGGGCAGGCTTTCTGCTGAGCTGCCGCTGAAGCAGGCTCCACACACCAGCCTGGACAAAGTGCAGTGACTTAGAGCTCAAATGGCTTCAGCGAGGTGCCAGGAGCCGAGCTCCCAGAAGGAAGCGTTGGCGGCCACTGCACTGCCTTCCTGCTTGAGCTGCAGCCAGTTGTGCATTTTGCATGCCCCCATTATGCAGGCTGCTTTCCTATCAAGCTTGCAAAGAAGGGAGCAACGTTTTTCCTGGTAGCTAAAAGATGATATTGTAACCTCCAACAGTATTATTTATTTTTAACCCCTCTAGGAATCACCTGACATTGAAAAGCTGTATTTAAGAGTTTTCTCCTGCTCCGATGGAAATGCTCGCTCCTCCTGGCACTAGTCCAAACTGAGCTCCGCAGCTTTGGAAAAACTAAGATGCAAGTCTTAAATATCGGTATACACCTGCACAAATACAGATAATGCACAAATATACATACACGCACACATGCAGAATCAGGTATGAGTCACATTTTTGGCTGGTGCGAATTAGCAGAGTTTAAAGGGAAGGTGAGTGAATGGTACCGCATTACATTTACTGAGAAACCCACCCGATTCATTTAAAACTACGCCTGCTACTTAATTATTAAATAAAGGGTAGCTACTAATCAAGGGCAGTTTCTAAATGAAGATATGTGGTGGAGTGGTCGCCATTAAAAAGCTGGCATTTGCCAACAGTTACCACACAGTGGTAGATCAGAAACCACAGTTTCCCCCTGTATTTAGATCAGGAAATATGTGTGTTAATTGTGGGGTATCTTCTGGCAAATGTTCTATTTTTTTTAATGGTGACAATTCTGGCTGTGCATGCATGTGCGCCTTTGCAGATACGTGCAAACACTATGGCAGGAAGAAGAAATATTTATCTGTGTTCTCTGCAACCCTAGAAAAAACAACACTTTCTAAAGGAGCCTACACTGTGGCAGCAAGGAGAAATATTTATCCACGCTCTCTCCAACCCTAAAAAAGCAGCATTTTCCAAGGGAGTCTCTCCACCACGAGAGTCCCAATTCGGAAACTAGGCCTGCATGTTGATCTGACAGCTACACATGTGAGGCAAACGGGGATACTTCATCCTTGGCACAGCATCCAGTGCTCCAGTCTGCAAGGACTGCATTTGATTTTGTCGTTTATCTTAAATGGCTAAGAGACCACCAGTGCAAAACATTTGTGTGAAGCTTTTGCCAAAACCACAAGTGAAGAGTCTAAATTCCCTGTGTAAATACTTGAGCTTCAAGCATCAAGGATAAAATTTCTGCTCTTTTGTGAAGACTGGTTTTAAATAGAAGCCATCTCTGTGGCTCATGGGATGAGGAAGGATTTTTTTTTTATTTTGGGGCTCAGTTGCTTGGCTTTTGTAACTGTTTGATCTCCCTGGAAATACTACACAAGCAGGTAATGATAACTACTATCCAGATTGTACCTATGTTGCATTTTAGGCATGTGGAAACTGATGTCAGACATATTTCTATGTGTGTCTCATCACACAGAGGAACTATGTGAAGCCCACCAAGGGCACCATTAACCACAACTGCATGGGGTTTTAATGTGGAGATGCACAGGTCTTAGCACACAACACTACCCTCAGAGCAACAGCCTCCTCTCTAGTCCTGGTGGGCCCCACTCATCCATTGGGAATCAGTTTGGTACTATCTGCACAGCCCTGAGGCATCAAAGAAGATGCTAAGAGCTCACCAAGGGGGTACAGGGAAGCCCTCCATGCTCTTATCCAATATATCTCCTGTAGTGAATTAAGGTTTCAAATAGGAGGTTTCTAACCATCTGGGCAAAGGGATCCTGTAAGGGCCTTCCAACAGAGGTACTGGGAGCAAGCCAGCAACCCACTTTAACAAGATACCTAACAAATTCGCAGGAAAGACTGTATTAACCAGTTATCAGTGAATGGATGGAACTGAACATGTCACTCAGAATGTCTTTTCACTGTCCTTTGGTGTATATATGAGAAAATCTAAGAAGTGTTAACCTAGTGTCAGGAAGGAAAGGGTTGGTAAGGGAGAAGAAGAATGGACAAAGAGACACTCTGGCAGATACTCAGGGAGTCCCGCCACCACTCCTGAATCCAGCGCTAAAAGACAAAGATTGTGGGGCTGCCAAACCAGGAGGCTGAGTCTGCTCTTACAAGCAAAGTCAAACCAAGTGATTCCTCCACCTCTTTGCCAGCACTTTAGGATTTCCTTCTTTGTCACAAATCAGGACAGTTCTATAGAATCAGATCAAGTGGCAAATCATGAAGAGGGAAATCGTGTCTACTGGTCTCGAGGAAAGGCATGGAATCCTCTGTCTTTAGGTACATGACACTCATAACAGTGGTGCTCAGAAATGCTCAGCTTGTGTTTCCTAGGAACATGCCCACGTTTTACATCTCCAGCTCTTCTTCTGTGGGATTTTTCCCTATAAGTGCTCTATTTAAAGCTGAAAATGAAGACGGGGGGCTCTACCGTTCTTAAATTTAATTGCTACAGGTGATGGAAAAACACAACAGATAAAAAGATAAACAGATATAGGTAGATAGACAGATGGTATCCTAAGGTGATGCTGAGAGTTTCCACACAGCACCAGGAGAGGGAGGGAAGCCAGTCTCTGGAATTCTGTGGCCAATCAACCACATCATGTTGCACACAGGTTTCAAAAAGAAAACACTCCTGCGCATCCCTGACTGCCACAAAGGGTACAGCCACAACCGGCACTAAGTGAAAGCAGACATCAGGAACTGCGATGCAATCTTAGAGACAAAAACTTGATCCAGCTGGGGTGAGAGGGCACACACATGCAGCTCTGTGTCTCTCGGACATCACTGACAATGTGTGAGGCTCAATTTTTCTCTTGGGTCAGCACTAGAAAATCACTCACCTGCACTGCAGATCTCAATTATATATTCTGCATTCATTCTGCACAGATGCGAGGGGAGTTTTGCATGTAGCATGAGTGTGAAACATGCACAGGGACTGTCACTGTGTAAATAAAAGATCTGCATTGCTGATGGTAAAGGTCCATTTTGTCCTCATGCTTTAAACAGACTTGGCATACACTCAAGTGACTGTACACGGCAGTAGCTCACAGGTTATGTTGACTCCCAGGCACTGCTAAGAGTATTTTTTTTTCTCTCTGCTATTTTTAAACTTGCAAAGAAGAAAATAAGGTAAATTGGACATGACCCCAGAAGATGGAAGTGAGCATAAGAGCCTAGATGAACATGACAAAAGCCACAATCAAGGCATAAATTGCATCCTTTTGTCGTCCCTCTCCCTGAGCCTAGGCATGACTGGCCATATGATACAGTATATGTAAAACACCATGCTCCTCTGGCACATCTGCAGAAAAGTCCCTGAGCAAAGCACAAAGATGGAGCAGCAAGCAGCATTCATAACGTCCCACCTCAGTGTGGTTCAGACCAGGGGACTGATATTAATTTAAAGGATCTTGCTTTATGTCTTGCATTGCATGTAAATGCAGCCATGCATAGCTGTGTAACTGGTGCATGCCCAGGGGTGTTGTGTGCTTCTCTGGGTGGGTGCTGGGGTGTGTATCTGTGCACAGGCAGACAGGCAGGTGCACAGGTAGACATGTAAGCCACTTAACAGGGCACAAACCAAGTTTTTCTGTGTGTCTCTCTGTGCCTGTCTGGTGATGGAAAATCAATCAATAGCTGGTTAGAGACTAGAGCTCAGTTCCATTATTAAAAACCTCTCTTTCAATAAAAAGAAAAACATCTGTTCAAACAGTGTATGGGTACAAATTCAGAGTGCAGGCTACAGCCTCATCCCTGCCCTGTGCTTGTCATGTTCAGGGAGAATACTGCAGATGTTTTGAGATGGGTTTTACATGTACCGTTGCAGCAGCCTTGAACAGACACATCCAGAAGTAAGACAGATCTATTCAATAATCTTTCCAACAGAATTTTTTCCAAGCTTTTCCTAAAATAAGTTGTCTCATCTGTATTACACCCTCTCATATGGACTGTTCCCACCTGATATTATTATCTTTCTACCATATCTTTTTACACAGACACCAACAGGGTTGATGAAACAAACATATACAAGCACACATGTGTACACACACAGAGTGTGCAGAGACACAGAGGCACAACCATTTCCAACAGCAGCTAGCAGAGCAACGCATGCACACCGTGTAAGTGAAGGGCACGCACAGCATCCCCCAGGAAAGGCAGAAGGACTCAGTGGTACAGGCAGACACACTATTACACACGCTCACGCACAGAGTCCGGTGCTCAGGCAGACACACCTGCACACCGGCCTTTACTTCTTCCCCCAGCACACACACAGTGGTTTTGGAGCAGTTCCCCTGCACCGACTTATGATGCTAAGACTAAAACTTTGCTCGAGCTGGAAATTGAAAGGCTGCACTGGGGAAAGAAGGAGGGCAGGGAAGAGATTTCTTGTTATATTTTGCTCAGGGATTTTTTTTTTTTTTTGGCAGACAAGGATTCCCTTTGAATTAATACATTTCTTTCTCCCAAGAATTTCGAATGATAATGCATAAATGAGTCATAGATCAAGAACAGCGACGTGGTGAGCAAGAAGGAGAAAGAGTGTGAGTGAGGG